AAGCTGTGTAGGTCTATCATTTCTGCGTATTGTAATTTCTTCTGGTGATGACCTGTATGAATATTGTCTCAGGAGGAATATGATACCCATGATCCAAAAGGAGATTGCGGCATGGTATTGTCCTTTCTCAAAAAGAGGTCAAAAATCATTGAAATAGTAGCTGCCCATGACATTGTCTTTGCTCTTGCGCAATCTGGTGTTTGTGCTGCATTTAGCCGAGGTAGAGCCCTAGTTTAATAACCATCTCTATGTTTATGTGAAGAATATGTGGTGATAAACGGTGTATGCTTCTAGACATTGAGAAAAGGGGCCCCTTATAATTTGTCCATTGTTGTATGCAGAGGCTAACCAGAGGATATGCTTTTTGAATGTCAGTCCTGATGAAGTCATACGAAGCTTGTTTTACAATAAAAACAATGATTCTCTTATCACAGTCTCAGTTTATGCTTCTGACAATTTTAGTTCTTTGAAATGCAGAACCACCAGGATTGAGTATGTGAACTACAATGTTTCAGTTGCTCTTAGTTTCTATTATTTATTATTCATTATCAAACTGTTTGATGGTTTCAGGTACATAAGGAGGGGTAAGCCAGATGCAGGTTTTGCTCTTTTTGAGTCTGAGTCACTGAAATGGCCTGGTTTTGTGGAGTTTGATGATGTAAATGGGAAGGTACTCATCTATTCGGCACAAGATAGGTAAGTATCCGATTATTTTGGTTTTCTTACAATGATCGTTTTGTGTACAATTTGCTTCTTGATTCTGATCCATATATATATATATATATCCTTCCATTTTTTTATCAGCATATACAAGGTGTTTGACTTGAAAAACTACACGATGTTGTACTCCATATCAGACAAAAATGTTCAAGATATTAAGATCAGGTAATCTTTCTGATATGTACCTGCATAGATAGACACCTGAACAGTGTAGACGACACATGTTTGTGGGATTGTATCATGCATATGTAGCTTACCCCCTTTTTGTTTTTTGGTTTCTGAAAAACAGTCCAGGCACAATGTTGTTGATTTTTACCAGAGCTAGTGGCCATGTTCCTCTTAAGATTCTTTCAATAGAGGATGGTACAGTTCTCAAAACTTTCAATCACCTCCTTCATCGGAATAAGAAGGTCGATTTCATTGAACAGTTCAACGAGAAGCTTCTCATCAAGCAAGAAAATGAGAATCTTCAGATTCTTGATGTAAGGATCTTTCTTGTGGTTTTGAAATAATTTGTCTTAATCTACGTTTAATATGTGATATTTGTTATTTTCAGGTTCGCAATTCTGAACTAACAGAAGTTAGCAGAACTGAATTTAGGACTCCATCTGCATTTATATTTCTATATGAGAACCAGTTGTTCCTGACATTCAGGAACAGGACGGTGGCTGTTTGGAACTCCCGTGGGGAGCTCGTAACTTCATATGAGGATCACCTCTTGTGTTTTCCTGACTGCAACACAAACAACATATATATCACAAGTGATCAGGATCTTATAATTTCCTATTGCAAAGCTGATTCAGATGATCCATTATCAGAAGGAAATGGTAAATCACGATCACCTGATAAAAAATTGATATTATTACTATATTCAAATGAGCAATTCATTGTGAACTCCCACCTGAGGGGTCTAATGGGTTAACCTATCATGCCAATTGGTTAAGAGGAAAAGATAAATACACACGAAATGCTTTTTAGTATGAAATTGATGTCTATTTCATGTTGAGATGTACAATTTATGTAAGGCATTCTACATGTGCAGCATTTAGTTCTGATGCCTTATTTATGAGCATGGATAGTATTGCCTTTTGAAGTTTGATGATAATGCTTTCTTATCATTGGGTGTAAGATAAGATTTACACCTTTCATTCTTCAAGCACCTGTAAGAGTACCAGTTGCTCTAAAGGTGTTGTTAAGAAATGGGTCCGACAATGTAGATCATGCTCTTACACTGTCTCTCTTGTGTGACTCTCTCTTGCAAGTGGAGAGACTGACACACAACCAACTCATTAAGATGCATGGAAAACAGAGCATGCTAATAAACATAATGGGGGAACAAACACAAGTTGAAAGTTGAGCCCAGAACCACCTATTACTCAATGCATTGTTCAAAAAATTCAAGTTTAGGAACAAACACAACATTACATATAAAGCTCTCACATGCCCAATATTGTTTCTGATGATGAACATTTCTGCAGACTGAACCATCTTCTAATTAGTTTGTGGATATGCTGAATGGGGGTCTTTTCTGCCTAGAATTTATGTTATTTGCTTTTCAGTTAATTCTATTACATGATAGGTTGTGCCATGGAGTTGGTGTTTTTGCAAGTGTGATTACATCTAAATTGATATTGCATAAGTTTCTATTTTGCTTGCTTTCTCTGTTTGTTTGTTTGTTTTTTTTTTTTTTTTTTAAGGGTGTTTCCATTGATCATGCAGCAGGTTCTATCAATATCCGCAATATCTTGACCGGGAAATGCCTTGCTAAAATAAGAGCAACCAATAGTTTTCCCATAGGTGAATGCAGTTGTAGTGGATGTTGTAATGGCAGAAATTGCAGTTCAAATATGCGGATCCGAGCTTCCAGGATTAGAAGCACTGTTGCAGAAGCCCTCGAGGACATCACTGCTCTCTTCTATGACGAAGAACGTAATGAGATCTATACTGGCAATAGACATGGCCTGGTTCATGTATGGTCTAACTGCAGGTCGTATCTTCCCTCACATCCCTTTAGACTCCAAGCTCGTTCTTCCATATGATTGAAATCATTCTGCTTCCGGCTGCAAGAACTACCGGGAACTGTGCTATTAAATCGTGCTGTTTTTTTTCTTTTCTTTAAATTCATAGCATGTGTTTCTTTCTTTGCTAAGTGAATTTCTTTTTTCTTTTTTTTATTCTCTTTGGTGTAATTGAGGTTGGGCCCTTGGAAGTTGAGATGTTAAATGTTTGTACCTGTTGTAGATGAGCTGCAGGTAGATAGTTGAAGTAATGTAATAGCTGTTTGTGGGAAATTTAACATTTAAGGTTGCAAGTGTTCGCCAGGTGGTTTAATTGCAAATGCATCAGCGTGCCTCCTTGCTGTCGCTTTTGGAAATATATCTTGTTCCATGCTTGCTGTTACTGGTCTTGTTTATTACTTGACCTTAGGTCAAGCTGTATATGTAACCCAAGGTGATCTCCATCCTTCATGATTTCAATGACATCCTTGCTAGTGTATGACATTGCTTGTGATTTAATGAATTTCAAATGTGCACGTTCTTGTAGTTTAGGAGGTAAAAGTGAAAATAACCTTTTGTTTTTTGTTTTATTTTTTAGGTTAATGAACCCTGCAGAGTAAGAACTTTTATTTGAACTGTGCATTTTGAAAGAGTTGGCAGCTTCACTTTGTTTGGTTAAAGTTTATCAAAAATATATTTTTTAAAAATTTATTTTCTTATTTTTCGTGTTTTTTTATTTTTACTGATTTTTTAACATATTTTTAGTATTTTTTTAAAATTTTTAGATATATCTAAAATAAATATACCTAAAAAATAAATAATTTTGTGAAATTTTTTTTTTAAAAATTTACTAAATACTAAAAATACAAAAAAAAAATTCAAGAATTCATTACATTTTTTTGTATTTTTATATATTTATTAATTTTTTAAAATATTTTTTTGCAAATTTTTTACTTGTTAGATAGCATTCAGATTATCAAAACGAAACCCGTGATGGGCCCCCACGGGCCGAACAACACTGTTCTTAAACTTGCCTCCACCTGTGTAATTTGTTCGCAAAGTCTGCACCAGGCAACTCACATCAGTGCTGCTTTGTACCATTTTTTGTATAAAAATATTTTTTTTATAATTTTTTTTAGTGAATAGTGATAACTTTTTAACTTTTTTTATAATTTTTTGTCTTTTTATCTTTTTTGAAAGATCACAAACTTGCCCTTAATATAAATGTCCATTTTTTATTTTAGAAAATTTCACATTGATATATACTTGCTATGTTTTGGACTTGCAATGTATCTATTTTCTGAAAATTTTATTTCTTGATATGTTTATGTGACATGTCATATATGTAAATGTATTTATTTTCTCATTATTTTATTCCTTGATATGTTAATTTGTGATATGTCATATACATAACTTAATGAGAAACTATTTTGTGGGTTTTACCCACCACGTCATCGATATCACGTCATGTAATCATTCAATCAAATTTAGATACATAGGCAACATTGCACGTGTCCTGGATGGAGGTAACATTGCATGTGTCCTCGTGTCAACCATTATGTGTCGCTATTTACGCTTTTGGACATGGGGTTTTTTCTCCTTTCCCGTGTGGTGGAATTCGATTGGATGAGTGTGTCATGTGACAATGACACGTTGCCATTATGAGTTGCTAGTTAAGCTTCTAGACATGGTGTCGGAGGGTTTCTTTCTTTGTATGACTGGTGATAGCAGAAGAATTGAGAGCCTGCCAATTTATTTCCATATATAGAAGTTGCTAAAGGGGGTTTGTCCAGACATACCTTGAATTAGAATCATCCCACCCAGAATTTTCTTGGGATTGGTAAGTCGAGGTCAAGCATATGTAATGGGACTTCTTTTTTGCCATGGTCATGTTTAGGTGATTGGAGGATTAATTTTGGAAGGGCAGTTTTCTGTGTTGTCTGCTATTCATTTGCATTGGCTGATAAGACTTTGGGATGATAGAATTATTGATTTGAAGATACCTGAAGATGTGGCAATTGCAGTGCATTCTACCTGCCATTTAGTTCTATTATCAAAATTAAGATGACAATCAAATTATGTGACTGAAATTTATATAAGCATTCAGCAATTTTTACGCATTGTGTTAGTGCATCTTGCCAAGCTATTTGTCAGCTAACAGAGAGTTTTTACTTGATTATTGATCTGATCATTTCCCCTATATTATTTTATAAGCTGTGTAGGTCTATCATTTCTGCATATTGTAATTTCTTCTGGTGATGACCTGTATGAATATTGTCTCAGGAGGAATATGATACCCATGATCCAAAAGGAGATTGTGGCATGGTATTGTCCTTTCTCAAAAAGAGGTCAAAAATCATTGAAATAGTAGCTGCCCATGACATTGTCTTTGCTCTTGCGCAATCTGGTGTTTGTGCTGCATTTAGCCGAGGTAGAGCCCTAGTTTAATAACCATCTCTATGTTTGTGTGAAGAATATGTGGTGATAAATGATGTATGCTTCTAGACATTGAGAAAAGGGGCCCCTTATAATTTGTCCATTGTTGTATGCAGAGGCTAACCAGAGGATATGCTTTTTGAATGTCAGTCCTGATGAAGTCATACGAAGCTTGTTTTACAATAAAAACAATGATTCTCTTATCACAGTCTCAGTTTATGCTTCTGACAATTTTAGTTCTTTGAAATGCAGAACCACCAGGATTGAGTATGTGAACTACACTGTTTCAGTTGCTCTTAGTTTCTATTATTTATTATTCATTATCAAACTGTTTGATGGTTTCAGGTACATAAGGAGGGGTAAGCCAGATGCAGGTTTTGCTCTTTTTGAGTCTGAGTCACTGAAATGGCCTGGTTTTGTGGAGTTTGATGATGTAAATGGGAAGGTACTCACCTATTCGGCACAAGATAGGTAAGTATCCGATTATTTTGGTTTTCTTACAATGATCGTTTTGTGTACAATTTGCTTCTTGATTCTGATCCATATATATATATATATATCCTTCCATTTTTTTATCAGCATATACAAGGTGTTTGACTTGAAAAACTACACGATGTTGTACTCCATATCAGACAAAAATGTTCAAGAGATTAAGATCAGGTAATCTTTCTGATAAGTACCTGCATAGATAGACACCTGAACAGTGTAGACGACACATGTTTGTAGGATTGTATCATGCATATGTAGCTTACCCCCTTTTTTTTGGTTTCTGAAAAACAGTCCAGGCATCATGTTGTTGATTTTTACCAAAGCTAGTGGCCATGTTCCTCTTAAGATTCTTTCAATAGAGGATGGTACAGTTCTCAAAACTTTCAAACATCTCCTTCATCGGAATAAGAAGGTGGATTTCATTGAACAGTTCAACGAGAAGCTTCTTGTCAAGCAAGAAAATGAGAATCTTCAGATTCTTGATGTAAGGATCTTTAGATTCTTGATGTACGGATCTTTCTTGTGGTTTTGAAATAATTTGTCTTAATCTACGTTTAATATGTGATATTTGTTATTTGCAGGTTCGCAATTCTGAACTAACAGAAGTTAGCAGAACTGAATTTAGGACTCCATCTGCATTTATATTTCTATATGAGAACCAGTTGTTCCTGACATTCAGAAACAGGACGGTGGCTGTTTGGAACTCCCGTGGGGCGCTCGTAACTTCATATGAGGATCACCTCTTGTGGCATCCTGACTGCAACACAAACAACATATATATCACAAGTGATCAGGATCTTATAATTTCCTACTGCAAAGCTGATTCAGATGATCCATTATCAGAAGGAAATGGTAAATCACAATCACCTGATAAAAAAAATTGATATTATTACTATATTCAAATGAGCAATTCATTGTGAACTCCCACCTGAGGGTTCTAATGGGTTAACCTATCATGCCAATTGGTTAAGAGGAAAAGATAAATACACACACGAAATGCTTTTTAGTATGAAATTGATGTCTATTTCATGTTGAGATGCACAATTTATGTAAGGCATTCTACATGTGCAGCATTTAGTTCTGATGCCTTACTTATGAGCATGGATAGTATTGCCTTTTGAAGTTCGATGATAATGCTTTCTTATCATTGGGTGTACGATAAGATTTACATCTTTCATTCTTCAAGCACCTGTAAGAGTACCAGTTGCTCTAAAGGCGTTGTTAAGAAATGGTTCCGACAATGTAGGTCATGCTCTTACACTGTCTCTCTTGTGTGACTCTCTCTTGCAAGTGGAAAGACTAACACACAATGAACTCATTAAGATGCACGGAAAACAGAGCATGCTAATAAACATAATGGGGGAACAAACACATGTTGAAAGTTGAGCCCAGAACCACCTATTACTCAACGCATTGTTCAAAAAATTCAAGTTTAGGAACAAACACAACATTTCATATAAAGCTCTCACATGCCCAATATTGTTTCTGATGATGAACATTTCTGCAGACTGAACCATCTTCTAATTAGTTTGTGGATATGCTGAATGGGGTCTTTTCTGCCTAGAATTTATGTTATTTGCTTTTCAGTTAATTCTATTACATGATAGTTGTGCCATGGAGTTGGTGTTTTTGCAAGTGTGATTACATCTAAATTGAAATTGCATAAGTTTCTATTTTGCTTGCTTTGTTTGTTTGCTTGTTTGTTTTTTTTTTTTTTTTTAAGGGTGTTTCCATTGATCATGCAGCAGGTTCTATCAATATCCGCAATATCTTGACCGGGAAATGCCTTGCTAAAATAAGAGCAACCAATAGTTTTCCCATAGGTGAATGCAGTTGTAGTGGATGTTGTAATGGCAGAAATTGCAGTTCAAATATGCGGATCCGAGCTTCCAGGATTAGAAGCACTGTTGCAGAAGCCCTCGAGGACATCACTGCTCTCTTCTATGACGAAGAACGTAATGAGATCTATACTGGCAATAGACATGGCCTGGTTCATGTATGGTCTAACTGCAGGTCGTATCTTCCCTCACATCCCTTTAGACTCCAAGCTCGTTCTTCCATATGATTGAAATCATTCTGCTTCCGGCTGCAAGAACTACCGGGAACTGTGCTATTAAATCGTGCTGTTTTTTTTCTTTTCTTTAAATTCATAGCATGTGTTGCTTTCTTTGCTAAGTGAATTTTTTTTTTCTTTTTTTTATTCTCTTTGGTGTAATTGAGGTTGGGCCCTTGGAAGTTGAGATGTTAAATGTTTGTACCTGTTGTAGATGAGCTGCAGGTAGATAGTTGAAGTAATGTAATAGCTGTTTGTGGGAAATTTAACATTTATGCTGTGTTTGGTTGGGGATTTAGAGAGAAATTTGGAAAGGGAAAGAAAAAAGGTGTGAAACTAGGTGAAATATAGGTATATTTTATTCACATTTCAACTATTTTTTCCATTTTTCCTTCCAAATCTCTTCCCAAATTCTCTAACCAAATACAGCATTAAGGTTGGGAGTGTTCGCCAAGCCTCGTTGCCGTCGCTTTTGGAAATATATTTTGTTCCATGCTTGCTGTTACTGGTCTTATTTATTACTTGATCTTATGTCAAGCTGTATACGTAACCTAAGGTGATCCCCATCCTTCATGATTTCAATGACATCCTTGCTAGTGTATGACATTGCTTGTGATTTAATGAAATTTCAAATGTGCACGTTCTTGGAGTTTAGGAGATAAAAGTGTAAATAACCTTTTGTTTTTTGTTTTATTTTTTGGGTTGATCGAACCCTGCAGAGTAAGATGAAGTTTTATTTGAACTGTGCATTTTGAAAGAGTTGGCAGTTTCACTTTGCTTGGTTAGAGTTTTTCAAAAACATTTTTTAAAAAATTTTACTTGTTTTTTGTATTTTTTTTTATTTTTACTGAATTTTTTTAATATTTTAAGCAATTTTTTTAATTTTTAGACATATTTAACATAAATATATCTAAAAAATAAAAAAAAAATTCGGAAAAAAACATTTTAAAAATTCAATAAATACTAAAAATGTAAAAAAAATACGAGAATTCAGTAAATTTTTATGTATTTATTAATTTTTTTAAATATTTTTTTACAAATTTTTTACTTTTTATATACATCTAAGTAAGGTACATCTAAAAAAGTAATAAAAATGTTTAAAATTTTAAAAATATTCACTAAAAATGAAAAAATACTAAAATCAAAAAGCTCAGTTTTTAAAAAACTTAATTCAAAAAACTCAAAAACATTGAGTTTTTTGGATTAAGTTTTTTAAAAATTGATTTTTTCATTTTTCATTTTTTTTTTTAGTGAATATTTTTTTAATTTTAAGTATTTTTTTATTTTTTTAGATGCACTTTACTTTGATGCATCTAAAAAGTAAAAAAATTGTGAAATTTTTTTTAAAAAATTAATAAATACATAAAATATGAAAAATATATTGAATTCTCGTTTTTTTTTTTTTTTGTACTTTTGGTATTTAGTAAATTTTTAAAGATTTTTTTCACAAAAATTATACTTTTTATGTGTATTTATACTAGGTGTGTCTAAAAAAATTTTTAAAAAAATGCTTAAAATATTAAAAAAATTCAAAAAAAATAAAATAAGAAAGTAAAATTTTCTAAAAAGTATTTTTGAAAAATCAAAAACAAGCAAATTACTGCTAACTTTTAAATGTGCGAACCAACATGGCTAAAAATTCATATTCGATGTACTCAATGGACTTTCAATAGTATGATGTGGTGAAACTCTTGAAAGTGCTTTTGAGAACAGGAAAACAGAGGCTGAGTTTGGTAAAATTTTCTAACTATAATTTGAGAATATGAGTTATATTTTGAGTTTGTGTATTTTGAAATTATGATTTAAGTGTATAAAATTTATTTGGCTATGATTTTTTAATAGTCTTGAATTGAGTTTTGAATTGAGTGTGGAATTGAGTTTTGAAAGTTTGATTTAACATATAAAGTAAGAAAATTTGTTTGGTTATGAGTTTTGGAAAGAATTTTCAAAACTTAATTCAAATTGTTATAACTAATAACAAAACACACTACTTTCACACTATTAAAAATTCTGATCAACACTCATAACCAAACTCGTTTTAAAATTCAATTAAAAAAATTTATAACAGAAAATAACATTAATCAATTTTTTAATTGAAAATACTACAAAGAAAATAATTTTTTTTCAAAATAAATATTCAAAAAATTTAAATCATAAATATTTAAATAATTTAAATAATTTAAATAATCTAAAAAATTTAATAAGTAAAAAATTAAAATAAATATTCAAAAAATATAAATCGTAAAAATTTAAATAATTTAAGTAATTTAAAATGTTAATATTTTAAATTTAAAAACAAGTCTACACTCAAATCGTAACCAAACACATAAAACAAAAATCAATTAAGAAATTATTTTTAAAACTCATAAACAAACATATAACTCGAAACTCCATACTATTTTCACAACTCTACACTCAAATCATAACCAAATACATAACAAAAAAATTAAAATATTTAAAAATATTTATAAATAGAGTTTGAATTTATTTTATAAATTATTTTTATTAAAATATTTAAAATCTTAACAAAATTAAAATATTTTTAAAATATTTAAAAAATTAAAATATTGATTTGAATTGAGTTTTGAATTATATATTTGGTTATGAGTTTTGAAAAGTAATGATTATGTTTTGAATTGAGTTTCAAGAAATGTGTGTAGAATTATGATTTGAAAGTCCAAAACTAATACCACACTTAAATCAATGGATAAAATTATAATTTAAGAGGCTTACCAAACGGAGGTAGAGATTTTGGGTACGGAAGATCTCAAGCTTATACATAAAATGAACCAATAAATTTTAGCATGTATGATGTGTTGGTGGGCTCACTATCTGCTTATGAGTGAAGAGTTGTCTATTGCATGGTTGTATATTATTGTGATTGGGTTGGCAACAAGGCAATGCCATCAATTTAGACTTCGCTTCACGATTTGCCTACCTTTGTGCCTTAAACTGGTGTCCTTGGCCTTGTAAGTCAAGTCAAGAGTGGCCTCTTTTTTGTTTTTTTAGCCCTTAAGGTTAGGAGTGTACGCGGTGTGATTTGAACAGTTTGAGAGTAAAATTATAAATCAAATGGCGGATTGACAGATTGGAAAATTGTGGTTTCGAAGATTTTGGATGAATTCGTGGATTGAAAAATGTTTTAATCAATTATTAAACATTTGCATAATATACAATACTAATTTACATAATATTTTTTTATATATATAACAGAAAGTAATTTTATCTAATGTGTTTCATATATATAATTATTAATTTGTACCAAATTTCACATCTTAAATCTTCCTTACTAATTTTTATTTTGATATTTCATTAGAGGTTAAAAAATATATTCGTATTAACTATAACTGAACGAAGTGATTTTGAGAGCGAATTATAAATTTTAAAGTTTAATCCGTGATTAGCGGATTAAGCGGTAAAGATTAACGCGGATAAGTGCAAATTTAACAAATTGAGCGATATTTTGCACAACCCTACACAAGGTGCATCGAGTTAGAAGGATCCGAATCTCGATTCATCTTCACACTAAAATAATTTGCTACAAGTAACATATTTGGTGAAAAGGGTGGTATTCATGACTACAAGCAATTATACATTGCCATTAATGAAATTATGTCATGTCATATGAGATTGTGTCAAACCATGTTGGGGCAATCTAATTGTTGGTATTAAATAATTTTTCAATACACATGCCATGTGTTTTGTAAATATAGGCGCTGTTTGGGAAGCTGCCAACGAGGCTATTGTAGCCTCATTTGATAAATAAGCCAAAAAGTGGCACTGTTCACAGGTTTTTTAAAAAAAAAAAAAAAAAAATAGGCACTGCGCTGGACAGTGTAGGACTGTCACAGCCGGAAAGTGATACATCAATGGGAAAATTACCATTTTGCCCCCTTTATATCAATTTAAAAAAAAAAAAGTTAGGGACAAATTTGTCATTTTAAATTTAAACATCATTTCAACACACTTTCCAATACAAGAACCCAACTAAAAATTCATCTCATCTTCCCAAACACAAAACTAAAATAGCTTACTAAAATAGCCAAAAAAACCAAATAGTCTACTAAAATAACCACTTCCCAAACGAGGCCATAAGAGCATCTGTAATAGAGTATTTTAGGGTCAGGTATTAAAAATTTGTGATATTGTGCATTTTAGAGTTCTAATGGAGCTATTAAGTTTAGTGTTAACTATGTTATATTCAGAGTATTTGTTGATGAGAGACGAGGAGAGTTGGGGGTAGAAAGCTATATCATAGGCTAGAGAGAGAGGAAATAGGGATAGAAAGCTATGTTATCGACTGAACAGAGAAAAGGGAATAGAGACAGAGAACGAGATGAATGACGTTTAAAAAGTTCTCTCACAAGAGAGAGGGGGGGGGGGGGTAACGCAAATTGCATTTTTACTTTTATTTGTAACATACACTTCAACAATTCTATTGCAACATCAATTCGCTTTTTAAATTAATAATTGATTATATTTTAGCCACCTCTTGTCAATTAACACACTCACATAATTTTAACATTTTCATCGAAAATGCTCTAAATGTTGACGGAGTATTTAATGGTCTTCAGTATTGAAAATGCTCTAAATGTTGATAGGGTATTTAGAGCATGTTTGTTTTGAAGGATAAGGAGGTGGGATTGGACTATTGTTTGTTTGAAAAATTTTGTTCCGAACTAATAGTCCGGAGGGACTATTAGTCCCACAAACATGGGACTATCCTATCCCATGGGGGGTGTGGGATAGAAACCATAGGATTGGTATTCCATGAGATTATTTTGTGAAATGTCCATTTTACCCCATACTATTACTTAGTAAACAATTAGAAAAGAGTAAAATAGTCTTTTGAACATTTATAAATTATTTTTTTAGTGTTGTTAATTTAAAATTATATATTAAATAAAAAATATAAATTATAAATTATAAATTTAATTTAATTGAAAATAATAAATTAAAAATTATGGCCTTATAAATTAAATTTTTTTAGTGTTGTTAAATTATAAATTATAGATTACAAGGGTAAAATAGTCTTTTGAACATTTATCCTTATCTAGTTCATCTAACCAAACATTGGATTCACTAAAAATAGTCCAATTCATACATCTAATCCCATGACTAAACAAACATAGGATACAAATCCAATCCAACCAAATAGTCCTGGACAATGTATCCCGGGACTAACAGTCCGATGGATTACAATCCCCCCTATCCAGTCCGTCCAAACAAACACACCCTTAATGGTTTTAAGTATTGTTTCATATCATTTATCATTGGACACTTATTCACTTATCTTTCAAAAGTATAATATAAAAAAATTCATAAATTACACGCTTTCAACCAATAAAAATTAAATTAAAATACCACACGTACATATTCCAAGAACACTAAATAATTTACCCTAAACTTTTTGTAGCTTCAACCTTGCCCTCTCTTTTGTCCACTGTGTACTTACTAAAACTAAAGCGCAAACCAAGAAGAATGTATTTATGATGTTATTTTAAA